ACTATGTCACAGTATTAAACAAACTATACCACACACAGGACAGATCTATGTCACAGTATTAAACAAAGTATACCACACACAGGAAAGAACTATGTCACAGTATTAAACAAAGTATACCACACACAGGACAGAACTATGTCACATCATTATACAAACTATACCACACACAGGACAGAAATATGCCACAGTATTAAACAAAGTATACTACACCCAGGAAAAAACTATGTCACAGCATTATACAAAGTATACTACAGACAGGACAGAACTATGTCACAGTATTATACAAAGTATACCACAGACAGGAAAGAACTATGTCACAGCATTATAAAAACTATACCACACACAGGAAAGAACTTTGTCACATCACTATACAAAGTATACTACACCCAGGAAAGAACTATGTCACAGCATTATACAAAGTATACTACAGACAGGACAGAACTATGTCACAATATTATACAAAGTATACCACAGACAGGAAAGAACTATGTCACAGCATTATTACCACACACAGGAAAGAACTTTGTCACATCACTATACAAAGTATACCACACCCAGGAAAGAACTATGTCACAGCATTATACAAAGTATACTACAGACAGGACGGAACTATGTCACAGTATTATACAAAGTATACCACACACAGGAAAGATTTATGTCACAGCATTATACAAATTATACCACACACAGGACAGAACTATGTCACAGCGTTATACAAAGTATACTACATACAGGACAGAACTATGTCACAGTATTAAACAAACTATACCACACACAGGAAAGATCTATGTCACAGTATTATACAAAGTATACCACAGAGAGGAAAGAACTATGTCACAGCATTATAAAAACTATACCACACACAGGACAGAACTATGTCACAGCATTATACAAATTATACCACACACAGGACAGAACTATGTCACAGCATTATACAAAGTATACCACAGACAGGAAAGAACTATGTCACAGCATTATTACCACACACAGGAAAGAACTTTGTCACATCACTATACAAAGTATACTACACCCAGGAAAGAACTATGTCACAGCATCATACAAAGTATACTACAGACAGGACAGAACTATGTCACAGTATTATACAAAGTATACCACAGAGAGGAAAGAACTATGTCACAGCATTATAAAAACTATACCACACACAGGACAGAACTATGTCAGAGTATTAAACAAAGTATACTACACACAGAAAAGAAATATGTCACATCATTATACAAATTATAGCACACACAGGACAGAAATATGTCACAACAATAAACAAACTATACCACACACAGGACAGAACTATGTCACAACATTATAAAAATTATACCACACACAGGGAAAAAGTGTCACAGCATTATAAAAAGTATACCACACACAGGAAAGATCTATGTCACAGCATTATACAAATTATACCACATACAGAAAAGAACTATGTCACATCATTATACAAATTATACCACAGACAGGTCAGAACTATGTCACAGCATTATACAAATTATACCACAGACAGGACAGAACTATGTCACAGTATAAAACAAACTATACCACACACAGGACAGAACTATGTCACAGTATTAAACAAAGTATACCACACACAGGAAAGATCTATGTCACAGCATTATACAAAGTATACCACACACAGGACAGATCTATGTCACAGCATTATACAAATTATACCACAGACAGGACAGAACTATTATACCACACACAGGACAGATGTATGTCACAGCATTATACAAAGTATACCACACACCGGACAGAACTTTGTCACAGTATTAAACAAAGTACACCACACACAGGAAAGAACTATGTCAGAGTATTAAACAAACTATACCACACACAGGACACAACTATGTCACAGTATTATACAAAGTATACCACACACCACACACAGGACAGAAATATGTCACAGTATTAAACAAAGTATACTATAAACAGAAAAGAGCTATGTCACATCATTATACAAATTATACCACACACAGGACAGAAATATGTCACAGCATTAAACAAAGTATACCACACACAGGACAGAACTTTGTCACAGTATTAAACAAACTATACCACACACAGGACAGAACTATGTCACAGTATTAAACAAACTATACCACACACAGGACAGAACTATGTCACAGCAGTATACAAAGTATACCACACACAGGAAAGAACTATGTCACAGCATTATAAAAACTATACCACACACAGGACAGAACTATGTCACAGCATTATACAAAGTATACCACAGACAGGAAAGAACTATGTCACAGCATTATAAAAAATATACCACATACAGGACAGAACTTTGTCACAGTAGTAAACAAACTATACCACACACAGGAAAGAACTATGTCACATCATTATACAAATTATACCACAGACAGGTCAGAACTATGTCAAAGTATTAAACAAACTATACCACACACAGGAAAGAACTATGTCACATCATTATACAAAGTATACTACAGACAGGACAGAACTATGTCACAGCATTATACAAAATATACCACACACAGGACAGAACTATGTCACAGCATTATACCAGGAAAGAACTATGTCACAGCATTATAAAAACTATACCTCACACAGGACAGAACTATGTCACATCATTATACAAAGTATACTACAGACAGGACAGAACTATGTCACAGCATTATACAAAATATACCACACACAGGACAGAACTATGTCACAGCATTATACAAACTATACCACACACAGAACAGAAATATGTCACAGCATTATACAAAGTATACCACAGACAGGAAAGATCTATGTCACAGCATTATAAAAAATATACCACATACAGGACAGAACTTTGTCACAGTAGTAAACAAACTATACCACACACACAGAAACATGTCACAGTATTAAACAAAGTATACTACACACAGAAAAGAAATATGTCACATCATTATACAAATTATACCACACACAGGACAGAACTATGTCACAGCATTATACCAGGAAAGAACTATGTCACAGCATTATAAAAACTATACCTCACACAGGACAGAACTATGTCACATCATTATACAAACTATCCCGCACACAGGACAGAAATATGTCACAGTATTAAACAAAGTAAACTACAACCAGGAAAGAACTATGTCACATCATTATACAAAGTATACTACAGACAGGACAGAACTATGTCACAGCATTATACAAAGTAAACCACAGACAGGAAAGAACTATGTCACAGCATTATAACAAATATACCACATACAGGACAGAACTTTGTCACAGTAGTAAACAAACTATACCACACACAGGACAGAACTAAGTCACATCATTATACAAACTATACCACACACAGGACAGAAATAGGTCACAGTATTAAACAAAGTATACTACACCCAGGAAAGAACTATGTCACAGCATTATACAAAGTATACAACAGACAGGAAAGAACTATGTCACAGCATTATAAAAAATATACCACATACAGGACAGAACTATGTCACAGTATTAAACAAAGTATACCACACACGGGACAGAACTATGTCACATCATTATACAAACTATACCACACACAGGACAGAAATATGTCACAGTATTAAACAAAGTAAACTACACCCAGGAAAGAACTATGTCACATCATTATACAAAGTATACTACAGACAGGACAGAACTATGTCACAGCATTATACAAAGTATACCACAGACAGGAAAGAACTATGTCACAGCATTATAAAAACTATACCTCACACAGGACAGAACTATGTCACATCATTATACAAAGTATACCACATACAGGACAGAACTTTATCACAGTATTAAACAAACTATACCACACACAGAACAGAACTATGTCACAGCATTATACAAAGTATACCACAGACAGGACAGAAATATGTCACAGCTTTATACAAAGTATACCACAGACAGGACAGAACTGTCACAGCATTATACAAAGTATATCACACACAGGACAGAACTATGTCACAGCGTTATACAAAGTATACCACAGACAGGACAGAACTATGTCACAACTATGTCACAGCATTATACAAAGTATACCACACACAGGACAGAACTATGTCACAGCATTATACAAAGTATACCACACACAGGAAAGAACTATGTCACGGCATTATACAAAGTATACCACACACAGGAAAGAACTATGTCACAGCATTATACAAAGTAAACCACAGACAGGACAGAACAATGTCACAGCATTATACAAAGTATACCACACACAGGAAAAAACTATGTCACAGCATTATACAAAGTATACCACACACAGGACAGAACTATGTTACATCATTGTACAAAGTATACCACAGACAGGACAGAACTATGTCACAGCATTATACAAAGTATACCACACACAGGAAAGAACTATGTCACAGCATTATACAAAGTAAACCACAGACAGGACAGAACAATGTCACAGAATTATACAAAGTATACCACACACAGGAAAAAACTGTGTCACAGCATTATACAAAGTATACCACACACAGGAAAGAACTATGTCACTACATTATACAAATTATAACACACACAGGTAATAACTATGTCACAGCATTATACAAATTATACCACACACAGGAAATAACTATGTTACTGCATTATACAAATTATACCGCACACAGGAATAACTATGTCACAGCATTATACAAATTATACTACAGACAGGTAATAACTATGTCACAGCATTATACAAATTATACCACAGACAGGACAGAACTATTTCACAGCAATATACAAATTATCCCACACACAGGTAATAACTATGTCACAGCATTATACAAACTATACCACAAACAGGACAGAACTATGTCACAGCATTATACACTAGGACCACATAAGTCATATTTTCAGAACCTAGGAAAAAATACTGCAGCATCAAATACAAAAAATAACTATAGAAATCAAAAGGACAAAATTTAAAATATATTAAAAAGAAAGATATAGGATATTTGATAAATTTTCCACAAACCACTGGTGATAGCCAATGGATTATTATATATGCATGTTTATTTACTTACATTGTTTCAAAGTAATCTACGATCTGTTCTTCTGAACAAGTTGAAAACCTGTAAGAGTTTTGTCCCTTGGTTGCGTCTCCGGCAGTTCCGCCTCCTACAGCCGTCATGATGAACCCGTCGTTCGGGTCGCAATGATTGTCGTATCGCCGATCGCCGTCATGGCTGGCGCCGAGGCTACACACAAATATTGCTTACATTTACTCTTAAGTTAAAGGTTATTTTTTATTATATACCCAAACACGCATTATTTGAGAAAGAAGTTGTTTTGTTAACTCATTTCTATGAAATAACAACGTCAAAAAGCAGAATTAACAAAGTAACAACTAAGGCTGGGTCACAATACAGATATATGGAATAATGGCTCAGGTTGACATCAATCATTTATCACAAACTATTCTTCAAAAAGAACATTCCTTACATTAAGTGTCATTTAAGATACATAACTGCGATAAATCAATAATGGTTTTAAAAACACGTCGTAGCAATATTTAAGCATTTAAGGTACTCATAATATTTCCCAAGTATTAAAGATATATTATTCTTTATTATTATTTTTAGGTGTTACAGATGGTTTTAAAGTATTTTCTGTTTCTTTTTTGTATTGAGTTCTTTATATCTAAAACAAAAAAAGCACAATTGTGTTTGAACAAATGATAATATATTTCATCTCTGTACAGATGATTTAAAATTCGCTTCTGTTACTATTCATGTAGCTTCATTTAGGATATTTCATATTTTATCAAATATTAATGCAGATGAAATCTTTCCTTCAGAACGTGACTGTCGTGAGCAATCCAATCCTAGCTAAAAGTTGTTTCTAGGAGGTAACGTAATCTATCTGTATTTACGATGATCACAATAGTATAGTATGTCCAACATTGCCATCGGATCTTGTTCCCTAGTGCTCTTATATTTCTGACTCTCTCACTGCGATTAGTTTATACCCTTACACATGTTTTAATGGCTCGTGATAGTCCAAAATTTAGTGGAAGGCGAAACAAAACAAAACAGAAATCGATTAAAACGAGAACATTTTTATGAATAAATGAATGTTAACAATACGATTGACATTAAACGAAAGATGTGGTCATACAATGGCTTATCAGATACTCTTTAGTAATAATAACACGTTTACCTTTAGCAGGAATCGATTCACTGATGATACTGATATTATGCGTGGGTTATTTGTTACCTACCTGTGTGCTAGCTCGTGAGTGGCTGTCAAAATATTATCAAATCCACCTTCGTCTTCAACTACTGATATGCCCTTTTCTTTGCACACGGCTCGAATGTGAGCAAAACCTGTAATATATGAAACGTTTGGTGAAAAATCTAGGTCATTACATATGTTTATTCGACATGTCCTAATCACACAGTCTCTAGTACCTAAAGCAGACGAGATCTAGCGATCCAGGTATATTTCGGATGTTTCGTACCTATATTTGTAATATTTATCATAGCGCAACTTAGCTAGAGTGCTACTCTTGCCTAGCTCAGTTGGTTAGAACGAAGGAAAAATAATTGCAGGTCCATTGTTCGATTCCTAGTCTCTTTTTTTTATGCTATACTTAATATACTTTGATTGTTTTCTTTAATCTTTATATATGTTTTTTTAATTAAAGTTCTGCAAGGTACGGTTTGTATATTTTTCTTTTAAGAAATGATATATTGAAGCTTTAGTCTTTAGTCATACCGGAAAAAGTTTCTAATTCATTGATAGGTTTGGCGATGGTACCTTTTGGTACCTAAATTTATTATTATATTTAATAGAAGATATTTGTACATGTGTCAGATTACGTGTTTGATGCTAAACACGTTTATGTTTCAACAAAGCCATTCCTAAGAAAAACAAATAAAATATAATTGCGTTTGTCTTACCTGCAACTTTTGTATCCGAAAATGATTTGACGTACAAATCATATCTGAAAGGGATAGAAAAAGTACGTAATTGCACTTATTTCATAAATTGAATCAATAATTTCTTGTGCTTGGTATTTAATTTCCATAAATGGCTCAATCACTGATAAAAATCCCGTGATAAATTTTATTGATCATTAACCCGCATTCTAGGAATATGACCCAGACTATTGCATGTCGAATAACGTACAGTTCATTCATAACCTATTACACCAAGCCCTATTCTGGACTGTGAGTACATGTACCGTAAGACTCGTTTCCGCGCTCACAAGTGTATAGCGTTTGCTAACTTAGACAATACATGGCAATATCAATCGAATAAGGGTCAAATGTGTTATCAAACTGGTTTGGTCACTAATACATTGATTGTGTAGGTGATAAAAGTCGATAAAGGGTCTGTTTGTATTGTAAGCTTGAGACCTAATGTAAGTAATTGAATTACTTAACATACACATTTTACTTATTATTTTTTGGTAATAAACCAGTAAAGCTGTATGTTTCTTTATTATATACAGCAGATTAACGTAATCCTACTCCAGCCATTTTTGTTTTAAAAGTAGCTTAAACCAGCTTGATTTTCCACCTATTTGGCCCCTAGCGTCACCATGAGTCCTAGATTGACAAAACAGCTGTATGGTGCAGTGCAATTAAATTCTTGAGTACTTTATCTACATTATGTATGACGTAAGCTACACCTTACATTCACTCTGCGTCTTACTTACTGTGTGAAGAGCATCAAATGGTCGTGTGGAGGAAGGTCCTGTCGGAAATCTTTTTTCCATTCAAACAGTTCTGCTAGAGCAATAGAGGCGTTCAGAATGTCACGTGGACGCTTAGCAATCTTCTGAAGCGTCCATCGGGAATCCTCTTCTTTCTGTATAGATATAATTTTCGTTACAACGACCAATTATATAAAGGGGCTGAAATCTTAATGTATATGAATACCTAAAACCATTTACAAACGTATTACATTCACATAGTCCTCTGTATTTATAATATTACAATGTAACTGGGATGTTAAACCAAATTACGTCATATTGAATGATCTTTGAAAAGGAACATTATATAAGGAATGTTGTTTTCTTTTTTCGTATCTATCAGTCATTCTATGGCGTTATAAACAGTTTTTATTTTGCTGTAAAACTGACAAATTTGCCACGTGACGTCATCAATGGGATTATTGTTTTTTATCGTTTGGTATTGGTTAGTGACTCTTCTTATTCTGATGCATTCGTTTAACTGTCAGTGTAATTTTCCTATTAAGTTACTTTTATCAATTCTTACAAAACTGAGGTAAAAATAAACATTGAAACATACCTAGCAAACTTATATAAATTGTAAAAACGATACGATACGTGTAACTCTATTGTTTTATGATACAATACGTATTGTGTTATATTCTTTTACACATTAATCATATCCGTAATTTTTATTGATTTAATTGTTTCTCGTATTAAAACTCCCATTATCAAATGTTTTTTCTTTGTGTCCTTTTTAAACTTAATGTAATAGAAAAAGATAAGAAGCATATGTTGTTAGAATATTCCTGATGATAAGTACAATTGTATACGGCGGCAAATGTGTGTCATTTCGTTTTTCCCGAAGACAAGACCAGATTTAATACAATAATTCTCATTATTTCGTCTTTTCGGGACCAAAAGAGAAAAGAATGAGAATCTAGGATTGTTGATTCTCGTCATGTCGCCCTAGAAAGTGTTCTATTACATGTAATGTATTCAGAAACGACAATGATGTGCACTTTGAATCAAATATCACCTTACACGATTAATTACCGAGCATTAATACCTTTACGTTTCAAGATGTAGGAAGACTGGCTACCTGCCCCTAAGTTTTTATAAAAACAAATTCAACTGCATTTTACTACTAGCTTATCTCCCCCTTGTTTAGAACTTAGTATAGACTGGCTACCTACACCTAAGTTTTTTTATAAAGAATTATCAACTGCATTTTACTACTAGCTTATCTCCCCCTAGTTTAGTATTTAGAATCAGACATCCAAGTGATCAAGTTGATTTTTTTAAAATAATTAATTGTTGTAGAGACGGAGGCGAGTCTGAGTTGTAAGCAGCTCATGGAATATTGAATCAAGGCGTATCCTTAAAACCAATATTCTTCCTTTACTTACATCAATGATGACATAGCCCGTTATGGCTACCTTCACCTCAAATGTCTCGAAATTATTAAATCGCAAGTCCACCTGAAAGTATAACGTAAAGGAAAACATATGTCAGGTATACTGTTATACGTGAGTGTCTATAGTTTACGATGTTAATGTTTTCAGTAACCTGGAAATGTAAATAAGTAAAAGATATCCAAGTTGACAATAAAAAAATCAATTAATTCTTTCCACTGATTTTGAATATACAATTATGCGTTAATCATGGCAAACCTTTTTCATGTCATTATTTTGCTAATATTTCAACCTCAAGCATTTTTTTATTTACAAAATGCATGTCATTTTCAATACAATTAATATTCTGTGTGGTTTTTAATTCACCGAAACGCACGTTAAGACACAAATTTATGCTTACTGATCTTTTTGGGAAATATCTGAAAAATACAAATTATTTCAGAATTCTTGTGAATCATTTTATTTCAATAGATAGGCAAGTTAAGGTGTTTTTTAATATGGCAACCAAAAAAAATGCGTTTAATTGTGGATAAGGTTATATTACTAGAATTTTAAAAGCTGGGCTGTGATTGGTTTACCTCAATGAGACATTCTGAAATGATGTCAAGTCGATACATACTCACCCCGTTGATTATATTTGCCATGTGTTCTCGAATATTTGCTTTAGCTTGCTCGTCTCTTTCAAAAGGTGAGCTTTGTGTTGGCGTTGCATCATAAAACCTATAACAAATCATTTTGTTTGCTTAAAAATGGTTATCGTTACCAATGAAATACGGATAGATAATGCATGTAACATCCTCGTAACTATATATAAATTATACCTAAACCCTATTCTAATATATTTACATTTTTATTAGATAAGCAATTCCCTAAGGTATCTCATTTACTTACTTTTTTCATATCACGCTTCACATAAATATATAACACTAAGTAGAGGCTGGGCCATTGATACTTAACAAAATGGTATTCCGGAAATAATAGTTAACACTATATATGCAATTAGATTTAAAACCTGTTTAGAGATCAAGAACAAGTTATCCTGACGCCCCTACAAGTACACATGTTTTCTTGTGCTGTAAAATGTTCCAGACTTGACAGACAACTTCCTAGAGCAGTTTGGTGATTAATATTTTTATTTTAGATGACCGAAATATTAAGCTATCAATGCCATGTTATCCAGACATTTGCTTAAGATAACATTTAGGAGAATATGACCGTAAAAACACTTCGAACAATACATACTATTCCATAAATGCGTAGTAATTAAGATATATATACTATTTAAGATAGTTCGGTGAGAGATGGTTAAGTTGGGATGCAGTGGGAGGTCGGGCCAAAGGATCATCATTTAGGCTTAGGCTTTAGACTTCGTTAGAATTTATGATAAAGTAAAAGTTTCCTTTTTTGATGAATAGTCCATATTTAGAGAAAGCATGTATGGTAGATTTTACATGACAATGAAAATTCAATTAAAATAGAAACAACATAGTAAAAGTACTTCAGTCTAGATTTCTTCCTGAATCTAATACCTGGTCAATTAGCAATCAATCAATCATATAATTAACCAATTATATTTCATTCCACTGCAACGCATCACAATTGATATAAAGTAATTACAATGTATAAAAAATGTCAAGTGTTTTTTAACCACAGGTTATACATGTATATATACTCAAAACAAAAAAATGTATTTGTACATTACAGGTAAAATAGATCCCTTTACAAACAACTGAACACGTGTGGGCCTCAGTTAGAACTGATTCAGCCTTACCTTTGGTATATATTATTGTCAATTACTAAGAGAATGCCGAGGTGATAGAGTGCACGTTTGTGGGGCGTTGGGCGATTACTGTTGATGATCCGACCAGTTGTTCTCATCGCCATAGGGTCTGACGAACTATTACTTGTTAAATCGATCACAGACTCAGATTGTCGCATCGCGCCAATTCTTGTTCCCAATCCTATTCTCTTGCTTTTTATTTTGTTAACCGCACCACCTGTTATAAAAATGATACAATTGAAAACAAATCACATATTTGAAATATGTTTAAACGGAAATGTATTTACTTAATCTCTAAAGTCAAAAGCCGAAATAATAATCAAAGAATAGTTGAAGAACTAGTCCTTATATTTACATTCGTTCGGTTTACGATTAATTTTAAACAAATTGTTAATTAATGAACGGACAACCTTTTCGGAACATGTATTTCTATTATTGCCAGTTCTGGCAGACGATGACCGTTTGTCGGAAACCAATTAGGAATTTCCGTCAATACCTTCATTTGACGTTTATCCATGATTTGTCTCCGATTAACAGTATGGCCAGAGGATCCGCACAGTTTACAACTGGAAAATACCCAAGCCTGATAGTTCCCACCTTTATAGGTTTATAACAACCTTTTTGGTGTGGGTATTTATCTACTGGCTACACAAGAACACGTAAAATATATATATTGTTATTTGGGTTTTAAGTATATTTACGTTTTAATGTGTGATGGTAATTATTTAACACTGACATGTAATTGACTTTACAGGATACGGTGGTCAAAACTATACTGTGGATATATGTGGATGCATACTCGGAATGTAGTTAATTTCGATGGGAAACGGTGGTGGTGGTAAAAAAAAAGTGTGCATAGAATGTTATTAACTTGTTTAATATGTAGAATAATTGATTATTAGAAAAAATTAAAGTAGTATATATAATGGTTAACATGTTTTATAGCTAAATATGATATATTATAAGAAGTAGATCTGTGAATTGTCTCCCCTGTATAAACATGTATGTAGTTGTTTAACTACTTTTTTTTAACATATGCATGTTATTCAAATATAACAGTCGTGGATTGAGGAAAGTAGATATCCAGTAGCATGGCATTTTAAATGTGGTTGAAACAGTTGTGCCGGGACGCCTTGTTGGCTAGGAAGCTCAGTCGGTTGGAGCAATATCATAACAATCTGTACGTAAAGGTCCGAATCTCGGTCAAGCCCGCTCATGTTTTACAGTTAAACATTGTTATTGATTGTATTACGTTTATTTAATATTCATTAAATTTCGAAAGGTATGTTTTTAAGAAAAAAATGATTCATCAAAATGGTCAATGTCGAAAGAAACAGTTTCAAATGTATATTTACAGTTTTTTTGGATGTAAACTGGGATCATTAATCAATCACACTTAGCACATACAAGGGAATCTATACATATGAGTGTAAAAAGGAACAGAAACATGAATAACATTATCGTATAATAGAAATGTTAAAATATATCCGGAAAATGAAAATTACAAAAAATGAATGTCGTACACACAGATGTGACTACATATTTACAATTTGATAACAGAAACCGTATGCCAACAATACATTACACGGCATCATACAGCTGTTTGACCCTTCTAAGACTCATTTGTGATGCTAGAGGCAAAAAGGTGGAAAACCAAATACATTTGTAGTCTCAACTAAGAAATTCAAATTTAAGGATAACTGAATTGAGTAGTTGTCTAAGTCAAGGAGCACGTTTGTAGGTTTTATTTGCTTGTAAATGGAATTTTCCGTACAGCCATTATGAGTTACCTGTGTCCATGTAATCTGACATTGACGCCAGGTGCCTTTTTGTCTTAAACACTTTGTACAGACGACCTTTTCTGTGACCACGTGAACCCAAACTCCGTTTGACCCTGTCACTCGAATCTCCCGGAATCATCTGTATTGCATATTCAACTCCTTCTACATTAAAACTGCCAGTCTGGAAGACAAAACAATAAAACATGTCATTCTACGCGCATAATGGTGGTAGTAGGGTCAATTTCTCGTCTGTATATGTGTATATTACTGTTATAATATTCACACAGTCTACGAGCGGATAGACACTAAAACAGCGGATATTTGGATATTTTGATTGTGGAAAAACCTTTTATTTTTTTCACTTAATTGAAATAACATCAACTTTCTATTTTAAATGAAATGAATTCAAAATGCAATATTTTAAAGCTGTTCACAGAAATCATGTTTTCCTTTTTTAAACAGGCTTTTTATTAAACATCTTTCTACAACAGTATCACAAAACACATATCTGTTATTTAGCATGAGTATTACTTTATACATATATGAATAAATGTATGTTGATGTGTCTTAATTGATTCGACGATGCAAACGTTAGAGTATTAGAGCATGTTATATATTTTGGCAATAATGATAATAACCGTTTCTGTTAGTTTTTTTTGTTTTTTTTTAAATGCTGTTTTATACAATGTCTATATTTCTATTTCATATTGTATATCTTTAACATATAATGTATGCAAATGTGTATGCTTGGATGATATTGACATAGTTAGCCCACTAGTGTGTGCTTCGCATCTTAATGTTGATATGTGAAATAATATATTTGGCAATGACTTACGTGGTTCTGTTGTGACATTACTTCGTACAGTTTATTGTGTATATCATTATCTCTAGCTTCATATGTTCTTGTGATTTTATTCCTTACCTTGATTAGACAGCTTATGTATATTTGAATGTCTATGTATCAAACAGTGAAAACGTCTTGCTAGGCTCTGCTGTGATGCTGGTGTTTTAACAGTTTATGTGTACTGTTACCCTTATGCAAAATAAACAAAAACTGATCAATGCGCTTAGCTAGGTCATATTGTGGTGTTAAATCCCGTCTAGTGCTTAACTTTGATCTTTAAACAATAAAACTACGATAGCGCGCGATATTTACGACATCAAATGATACACATATACCATTAATTCTGAGGACCTTTGTTTAAATCACGAGGTATATTAATTGTTATTTAGCTGTTTGTATACTGAAACCGGACACGTAAATATAGAGAATGGGGATGAAAAAGTTTAACAACAATACATCATTGACGTCACTTCTCAAGGTGTGTAGGTTTAAAACGAGAAAAACGCGGAAATACAAACGAACGCTTTTCGTCTTATATAGTCTAAATCATAATGCAAACGAATCTTCTATAGTATAAAATGTTTGCGTGTTTATATATAATACTGCTTCATCATTCGTAGGATGTATGATAAGAGGATATTTAAATATAAAGCCAGTGTGAGTAATTGATCACTTTATTTGTTTGCCAATCTGTCACGTTTATTTCAATGCTAGTGTTTATTGTAAATTCTCAGTTTTAATCTCTATTTCAAAGGGATGCCTGTCATTGTTTACACATACCATATAACGAATGTTTTTAAATTACTTGGTTTTTTAAGGACCCCTGCCCCACTGCAGGCAATACACTAGAGAACTCCACAGTGGGTTTTTTGTATGAACAGTAACCTCCCCTTGATTATATTTTATTTTGGATATATCACTGAAGCCAAGAGAGGTCAGAGCATTTCTGTTGATCAGGTTGCTTAATTGGTTAGAACAACGATGTAAAAAGTTGGTGTCCAGGGTTCGAATTAAGGTCTGGCCCTGCTGAATATTTTCAGCTCTTGGCGGTGGCTCGTGCTAACCATTCATAGCATTACTTAGGGCGGCTCCGATATAAAAACAAATATCTCAACAATCGTTTTTAGACTCTTTATAGAGATCCGACACAAGCTGACCCCTACACCGGTTGTCGAACCCGCGCCTACAGGTACAGCGAGGTATAAGTGCTGCCAAACGCTCTAGAACGTACGTTTGATCAGAGCAGGTACTTAATTAATTGAATAGTTACCAGTAAAGGGTCGCAATGTCCTCTCGATAGTCCCTTGCACGTCACCTTACAAGCGGCTCCCGTTTTAATGTCTTGATAAAAAGCAACATTCTGTAAGAAAAAAGAAAAAGTATTTAAAAACAATTTGAACAGCGAAAAAATATACACCAAAATAAGAAAAGACAGCATTAACCCGGAAAAAAAATATACACCAAAACAAAACGAAAGACAACATGAAACCGAACAGTAAAATCGACACCAAACATTAAGATAATTAATACACAAGGAACAGAGGAGCAACCAAAGCAAAAAGGAAAGCAGCAATCACAATCCCCGATTTAAATCTGAAACAAGCTAGTGTTTTAGGTGTAGTAACACGGTCTTCATGTTTTCCTCAAAATCAAAAGCATATTTCTATTAGCAATCGTCCGAACATGATTGTATGATAGTGTTGTATAACCAGGCGGTATACCTGAGAAACTATATTTACTATCTTTACTTTTCCTATTTTCGTTGGTACCTTTTCATTAATATCTGTTTTAGGATGATATTAATTACTACAAGCACCCTAAAACGGTTCCGATTCTAATTCACAGTGAACGGAAATATTGTCCGTAAGAGTTTCAAATGTTTTTATTTACCATAGCTACTTTATCACCCTGCCAAATTTAGTTGGCATTCATATCAACAATGAATATTATAGGCTGATTGTTGACATAATTATTATGATGACGTCACAATGATAATGATTGAAATTGAAATAGTGGCCCTTCGTAGTAATCATTTGTTCTATATATTGATCAAGTATATATTTTTTCGTTAACAATCCATAAATATATTCTATTTCATAAACTGTTAGAATACCAAAAGAAGTCAATGAAAGCGTCAAAGCTAAATAGAAACATACAAATTCAGCATGAAGTTAAAGTGGATTTCATTTATTCACTAAAAAAATTAACTGCTATTCTAACATTATCATGATATGATCGCATTTACATAGGGCTTAATTACACAACACGTCGTTTGGCAACACTTCATACTTTCATTGTTGTACAGTGTGGAGGAGTTGTATTGTTACGTGGCAATGACAGGTGAGCACGCTGTTGGAGTATTGCAGCCCTAAAAATAACCTTCAGCATTAAAACGCAATTTGTCTCAATCCTGAACAGCAACTAAAATGACATATCACTCAAGAACAACCTTGCACCTGGTACTTATTCCGGCAGGGTTAACATGAAATGCAAGCTTAAGGGAAATATCGTCTGGTGCAGTCAAAACATGAATTTATAACATTAAAAGAGGTGAAAGATGCACTTGTCTGTCATTTCTATATTTTAACATAGATTTTGGAATACTTTCGGCATGCAATTTCGTTCTTTTGAACTTAAGGATCAGTAATGAGTCCTCTTTAGACATAATGGCTATATGGTGAAGTAATTTTTTTTTAACTGTTTGCCCGTCTGTATTAACTAACTCATATGTTATATAAGTGCGTCCTAATATTTTTTTCATGTTATTTATGTGATATAAGTCAAATTTATCGTGAATAAAGCTTTTGTTGTGAAAAAAGCGCAAAAGCTTCTGTCTGTACATTTAGTAACTATCAAAACAATATACAGTTAATTTGACACGATTTATTTCTAGAGGTATATTGAAAATCTTCTAACGTAAAATCAGTAACCTCAAATATATATAATGTTTCAAAAATATTGTTTGTTTTGAGTTTGAAAATAATATTTTATATTGGTGACGCGATCCCTAACGAGATGACTGTTAACAGTAAAGTGATGTCATCAATGTATTACTGTAAAGTATAGGTATTAGTTTGACTTTGAAGTTGGCTTATATGGAGCGTACTTACTTTATGTACGTTATAATGTAGAGTTTTTGACAGATGTCCTAGTGGCAGATTTAACAGTGTTCCAATCAGAAAAATAACTATGCATTTTGTATAATAATGTACCAACGGCAAATGGGTATTGTACATGTACGTGTTAGAAACAGTTTACAGACTCACAGTTAAAGGATCTGTCAATATTGCCTTTACAGAAGATACCACTGGATCGTCCTTCTTGGACTCATTAGTAATGCTAGGGATCAAAAGAGTGGAATAAAAGTTGGTCTTTATTACTGTTGAAACAGTGAGGCAGGTGCGTAAAACACCTCTACTAATTTTTAAGATGAGTACAGATTTATTCCAAATTAGATAATTAGAAAAAAGGGGGTACATTATACAATAAACATGGTGGTTTGCCATCCCATTTTTCTGTTACAGTAATATAAAAAGAAAGTATCATGTCAGTTAGTGTTTCTCATAAATTATATATTTAAATACTAAGATTTAGATATCTAAAATACACACGAAGTCTAGCAAACTAATTTATTACTAGTCAAATGATGCATGTTTCACATTTGAATATAGTTACCATTATGATATATATGATGACTTTGCCTTTTTAAAACATGGTAAAAAATACAAATTATAAGTTAAGGTAAATGCAATATGAATGTCTAAACTTGCAATATAACGCTAATCCTGGCAAATTAACTTTAGGATATTCATTTTATGTGAATTTAACTAGAGCGTCTCTTAAGCTGTAATAGCAAGATAAATGTGCTCTGATTCTCACTTAGGTTTAAAACCCCTTTATAATACTACAAACATTAAAGTGATGCCAGTGATGAAAGTGACATCATTAAGATATCTAACAAATTTTCCTTTCTTAAAGCTTTAAATTGTATACTTTCACAATAAAACAAAAACAGATCGCCATCAAAGTTAAAGCACCGTTGGCATTAATTTGGCATCAAAATTAACAAAACAATTCAAAAGAGTATTCATAGCATTGGGATGTTATATAAATTTATCGAGGACGAATATTCTATGTATATTATCAAACTTATTTTATTCAAATGGCGAAATGAGGTTACGTTACTACCGTATCAAGCACTGTTCAAGGGGAATCGTTCATGTATCAATGAACATTCTGTTCTTTCGTTACAGTTGACGATATTTGAAGCAAAATATATAATTACTAATTAATATGTATCGTTCAAGATCTGCTTTTGTGGAAAGTCACATTTTCTACGTTTTGCTAAGGCCAGTCAAACAAATGGAATGTTATTTGTTGTGAAATTTGGACCCTGAGCAGAACAAATGCATTCAATTTCTTTCAAGTATTTGATCAGAAATTAATGAATGTTTGCGCATTTAATAAAAAACAAACAAACAATTAAGATAAAAGTCCTTAAATTCTANCCCCCCCCTTTTTTTATATATATATATTTATATATATATTCACTGGATTAAAAGAGCAGGCATTTTTTGCCGTATCGATTTTTTGTATATTTTTTTGAACTTTTGCAGGATCAAAGAACAATAAGGCCATAGCTGATATAAATGAATAATAAAATTACAGTATTGCATAATTTTCCATAATTTAAGAGACTAATTAAGTACGATCTGCATGTAAAAAAGGTATCTAGTTTTGACACATTTTTCAGATGCCCTTAAATTGTTCATAATATGTTAAATTAAATTAAATCATGTTACACTAGATCAAAACGAGCTTTGAACGTGATTTAAACTTCAGAAGAGCAGATTCTTTACATACATTGTGCTGCTCTTTAATGATATTGATCACGTTAATATCCATTTTTTAACACTTTATTACTATATTGAGTCGTTATAAAACATAATGTCAGTAATAATACCAGTAATATGTCCTTACTTGTTCAAAAAGAAAAAAATATCTCTAGATATGAACATATTTTAAAATTTTAAGAGCTTATTATCTGTTACATTATTAATTATGTATGTGTTCGCACCACACATCGCTTCTTGCCGTTGCGATAATGATGAAAATGACGACGCGGACGATGATGATCCTGATTATGATGATGGTTCTAGTGTCATGCTGATGCTGTTATTGTGATGACGGTGACAACGATTGCGACGACGACAACGACGACGACGATGATGATGATGATGATGATGATGATGATGATGATGATGATGATGATGATGATGATGATGAAAGTTGACTTCTTACCTTATGGATGGGAATATTTTCTTTTCGTAGAGTCTTTCTCCCTCTTTCATCCATTCGAGTCACATAAACATCACGAAGTTCATTCTTATTACTAACCAATTTTAATGACAAGCTCACAGGTTTTGCACTCTGCAATTCTATGCCCATATTTAGATTGAATGGCATACCCATGGCCATACGGTCAGGTGAACTATTGTCATTGCTTTCTATGATAGCCACATCGATTGGATTGTTAGATGGTTCAGGTTCTCCTGAAAAAATACATGAAAACATTTACATTTCGTACATAAAACTTATATCGATTCAAGGGGTTAGCCTGAAAAGTATCTTTTTGAATAAATATGAAGTTAGTCTTCCATTTGAGAGCAAGGAAGTAAGCATGTTTCAGATTTTCTCCTCATTAATGCTTCAGCCATTTTGAATTTTAAAGGTGCAATCCCCTGTGTGAGTGTTATGTTCATCTGTCAAGATACAAGGTGGTAGACCTTTCTGTATGTTGTAACCTTGGAGGCCACAGTTATCTCTTTGGAGTAGTGACATATTTCATAATAAACATTCTATACATTTCTTCTAATTGAAGTTAAGCATCACTCTTAAGTTTTAAGCATCGGGCCATTATCAAAACGTCCTAGAAGGACAAGGTAGGTGTATGATGCAGTGCTTTTCATTTTTGACACACTGTGTCTATTACCAAATCTGAAGGACGCTATCACCTGTGTGTGTGTTACGTTCGTCTGACTTGAAATATAGATGAGCTGTGTGTGTGTTACGTTCGTCTGACTTGAAATATAGATCAGCTGTGTGTGTGTTACGTTCGTCTGACTAAAAATATAGATCAGCTGTGCAAGAGAAGAGAATAAGTAAATTTCTAACATGTGGTTTCATGAAAAAATACTGCGATAATTTACCTTTTTCATAAACATGTTTATAACATTTCAAGCTGTAACTCTCAAGATCTAAAGAATATTTCACTTGACATTTAAGAAAATTTTACATGTGATATCACTTCACATAAAACCTCTTCAATCAATGATTTTTTAAAAAAAAAAAAAATTAATATTTTAATCGAATGCCATTAAAACAACCAGTTGCTTACTCTTTGATATTTCATGAATCTTTTCAGTGTTTACCATTAATTCATCTTCTACATTAAGGTCACATAATAATGACAACACACTTCATACTAGTGTGCTGAGGCGTGCTTTAGCTATACCATGATCACCAGTACACGACAGGTGTACTTACTAAACTCATTTAATGATTCATCACAATGTATCACTAAGTATCGCCACTAATGACGTACGCGTAACATCCGTCCTGTAGTGGAGTGTGTGACTTAACATCAATTTATAGCTAACCACATAATCAATATGTAATCTTTATTGACCCGTCGTCAATGACATTCAAACTATCATTTGGTTTGGTTTTGTTTGATATGTGCATTACGACGACGAGACAGGTTTTGCTGGTGGGGGGAAAGCCGGAGTACCCGCAGCCAAAACCACCGACATGCGGACTCAAACCCTAGACTAAGTAATGGAATACTAGTGATCGTAGATACTTTCACCACTCGATCACCGTGGCCCCAAATAATATTTGGTGTCGAGTCATAAAGTATTTTATGATGTACACACATATATCATATATGTTTAATTGACACTAGGGATAACGAGACAAATTATTTCTACATCCTCATTGGTTGGATCATAATCACGTGACGGTCGATAATTACTGATGTTCACTCAGACAGATTAATTGAGAAACCACAGGGCAATGTTCCCAATAGTCTCGTCTCTTCAACTGTTACGTTACAATCCCCTGTGCCGAATGCATTGTTTTTCCCCTTCATGATTTCATAACATTTTATCTTTATAAGTAGTACAAACAGCAGAATTTTATATCGAATACAGGATAACAACCTGGGAAATTTATTTCGGTGAATATGTGGGTTTACGTACCTGGAAAGAAATAATCAGTTAACAGAGACTAAAATGTATGCTAACCTTAACTTCGTCTCGGTCAGTATATCCTTTTCAAGTTCATATAATCACATATTCACCTCAGCAAATTTCCATAATTGATGATTATTGTTATAAGACAAAAACAGAAATGCCTAAATTGTAACGGTTCTTCATCGTGTCACATTCAATCATATCCTAATATCTTGACAAACATGAAGGTCACATTAAATTACCAGAAGCGAAGTTTACATATAAACTGTAGGGATTGAATGGATTGTTTTCATGTACATGTCGGCAATGAATAGCAGAAGCTGATCTTCATATCCTGTGGATATCAGAAAATATGTAGATCACCTACTGCTATTCATTGCCGCAATGTACATGAACAAAACTCTATTCAATTCATATATTTACGTTACGGTAAACTACAATAAAAAAGGTTACAACACGGTTTGTAAATTTATTATTTTTGATATAAGTATCGGACAAAAAAACATAAAAAAAAGGAAAAGTCAGAACTCCAGCCTACACACAAACTTCAAATGTTCAACTTCCGTCGATCAGCTTATTTGTTGTAACGAAAATTATATATTACATGTAGAATCTAATAATAACCAACACCATATTTCTTTCATTTTTGAAAGTTGATCTTATTTGATGTCGTTATTTTGCATAAAATACCTCATATAATATATTTTAAAAAGTTTATGTCCGCACTATTTCAAATCATTGGTCACCATAGTAACCATCCAGGACACCCGGCGGCAGTAGGCATGGAGCTCATATGAAATTAAAAGTACAGCCGTTGAATATGCTGCAGATGTAAATGATGATTAATTGATGGATGAAGTGCCCTGTGTCATTACAAAGTTCTCTGGGCTTACTGTGCAACTTGTTTCACGGGGCTTACCTCCCCGGACCACGAGGAACAGATTGCGAGTCGGGAGTCAGTATTTAATAGGACAATGTTATAAAAAAAAAAAAAAATCTCGGAGAAGGGGCGATAACTCTTCTCAGAAACGGTACTATGCGTAGTAATATGATTTGGTATTGTGTGTGAAATTAGCGGACCGGTTGCACGATAATCGTTGTATTCATAGTGTATTCATGGTCTAATGGCAGTTGTTTTCAGTTGGTAGATTCATGTACAGAACAAACATCAAAAATGTAAATATATGATAATATACTGTACAACATTAACAGCGCCCTACATGATTTACAAATCATCTATAAGGCATTGTACACTACATGTAAAATAATCGTCCCAGAATTACATGTACAGCTGCACTATAAAATTAGCATGCAAGCCGTTGCGCATATAAAGTGACTAAATTTTAACAAGACGGCTGCCGGAAAAATGCTCTTTAAAGCATTTATCAAAATAACAATACCTGCTATATATCACTCTGGAGAATATAACTTTTCTAAATTATAGTAACAAGATAAAATTGTTTGCCATTAATGCAAAATCTACAAATGTGTAATACCGACATTTTGTTTTTCTACCTGGATTACTACGGACAAATGATGTGTTTAGGCACTTAAACTAAAAATTATAAGAAATTGATTTTAATGACATTTGTGACTGTAATATTGTCGCATTTAATTATCACTGAAATGGGTTTTAATGGATTAAATGTACAGCCACCAAATGATGTGCATATAGCAAACTGAGTGAACCATATCCAGCTTTGTTTGCAGAGACATACGCGGTCTATAATTGGTTTGTAGCGATACAAACGGCTAATGTAGATGTCGTATTTTTTGTGGTATATCTGAGTAAATTAATAAATAGGAATGTGCAGATGCTCGTAAACGTCCTTTGACATCATTTTGTATGCATGCACGGGCTGTGAAATTACCTATGTATATGTATACATTTAGCGGTTTTTGCGACAGTCATGCAGTACGTATGACAGTTCTTTTGTTGTAAGTATGTGTGCATTGTATTTTCGATGTGAACGACAGTAAAATACGTTATTCAAATTTTGATGTCTATTTTTTAAGAGACAACAAAAAATTCAATAATACTTTCTTATGTGATGCCGTTATACATATTAAGTCAATGTAACCAAACATACATGTGTAAGGTGTTACGATTAAAACGTCATACATTAGATAGGTATGACATCATAATTAGTCATCAGTACTTGTCATTGTATCCCTAGCTGTCCAACTGACATAGACGTCTGTAAGTCACATCACATAATGGTGTTTATTGTTGGAAGATGTTACTTATCAATTTGTTTGAATGGTATAATATTGCAAACAATATACTCTATACAAATGGCACACAATGATTTCCTTATTAAAATTGAGTAATAATAATGTCTCAATTATTAATTTGTTTTTTAAGTTCAAATTAAGTGCTATATGAATTTAGGTTAAAAGTAAGTAAGAAAAGTATGATGGTGAGAACTGTCAATCATTAATATGACTAAATTCATTACTGTTTTGATCAAACCGTTTTCTATTACAGTTTTTTTATATATATGAAAGCTATGCAGTGCATCTCTCTCCGAAAAAAAGGTAATAATAAACTAAATTCTTTGATGAGTCAAGTAAATAATAAAATGTGTCTTTTTGAAGTATACAATGTGATGTCTTCTTGATGGTGTATAACGTCAAGTTTGAGGTGTATATTATGTATTATTATATGCATGAACATTTCTCGCAATCACATTGGTCGGATCCTATACACGTGATCAGTCCTCAAAAACTCATGTAGACTGGTTATCCGGTGAATATCGATTTCTAAATATAGCCTGTACGGAAATTCCCCGGAACCTGTCGTAGCGCATGCGCAGTGAGACTGGAACGCGACATTAGAAGATGGCTGCTGGCGAACGTTTCTCCTCCGTTACATCAGAAAATTACTAAAACTATTCGAGGATAAAGATGCTGTTAACTTAAAAAAGACCATTGAACAAGCAGTGCATGTCCTCCATGCTTATCTTAGGAAAAATAATCTAGACGATACCTTCGAAAGCTACAATGATGAACTGTTGTATTCAAACCGGGCTAAATTTTACACGGAGGCTCGCGTACAAAAATCAGAACCTTTAGTTTTGTTTTGTTTTATTTTATTGTTGAAGCATATAATAAAACAGTTATGGGCTTTTGTGCTGGTAAATATGATGTGATATGAACCTGAAAGAGTGATATTGACCTCGGCTTCGCCTCAGTCAATATCACTCTTTCAGGCTCATATCACATCATATTCACCAGCACAAAAGTCCATAATTGTATATTGTCTTATATCAGATTTTGTTTGTTAGGGGTTTAACGCC